CTCTCTCTCTCTCTCTCTCTCTCTCTCTCTCTCTCTCTCTCTCTAACTCACTCACTCACTCACTCACTCATTCTCTCTCTCTCTCTCTCTCTCTCTCTCTCTCTCTCTCTCTCTCTCTCTCTCTCTCTCTCTCTCTCTCTCTCTCTCTCTCTCTCTCTCTCTCTCAGTAATAGAAATCAGTAATAAAGTAATAGGAAAAAAACAGTAACAGTAAAATAGTAAGAGTAAAATAGAAAAAGAAAGAACAAAGAAAATTAGCAAACCTTCTGGAAGGAATACTGCATGGCACAAGGCGGCGATGGTTGAATAGATCGATCTCGCGGAGCCCTGGTGGTGGGAGTGCACGTTCGGGGCAAAATAAAAGAAAATTAAGCAAAAATAGAATAATATGTATATAATAATAAAATAAAATAAAACAAAAAAATACCCGTTGAATTTTATAAAATAATAAAATCACCTAAAATAGTAATAATAATAATAATCCAAGATTAATGATAAAATGCATATAGTCATCTGTAACTATACATCACTAATAAAACACACATACATAAAAACTATCGTTATCATTATCACATTTATTATTAGAAGAAAGTTAGAAGAAGACGAAAAGACTTTCTTTAAACTTTCACGCGAAAGAATATTAACTTTTTCCTTAATTTCCCCATAACGAGCTCCGGCCATCGAAGCAGTACAGCTAATCAAGGACCTTATGCATTAACATCATTAAGACGTTGATTAATTACAGAAATGGTATTGATTATCGCTAAACCATCTACAATAATGGGCTGCCGTTCCTGGCTGTCACAACAGCGAGAAACTTCCTTGATGCTGATGGTGAAAATAACAGCAGATTAGTTAAGAACAGTGGTTCTTAACCTTTCTACTCCCACGCCCGCTTTGGGAATTTATCCTTCCCCCACGCCCCCCCCCCCACCGCATCCATGAATAAAATTCCCTCCCTGATTCTGAAGGAAATCGTTAAAATGTTCGTAGTCTTTTTATTGTGTATGAATTAATCATATCATTAAACAATATTTAACGATGTTCTCGTTAAGAGAAAAACACATATAATAAATTTACTGACGCCCCCCAAGGGTGTGCGCCCTCAGGTCAAGAACCAATGTTTAAGGATGAGGACACCGTGCCAGAAATGGGACCAGTCCTTGGTCCCCTCGGTTCTTTGCTTTCAAATTGTCACTCAAGTACATGATTTTCTGTATATTCGTTATCTTAACTCCATTGGCACTGTCAGGTACCGTCTTAGTCTCCACCAGCATTCTTAGCATTTCTTGATTTTTTTTACAGATATTATACTTACATCATCATTTCCCCCGCGTCCATATGTATCAACAAATAGTTATATCATTCCTAGTGCAGTTATCATTAATTCCTTTACTCCCATCTATGTTTATAACAGTTGTAACTCACCATCTCTGACTTTTTATATTGACGTTAACGTAAAGATAATGCAGTACATTAACCATTGCTTTAACCATCTTTTAATCAGTTCCTCCCATTAGACCAAGTACTTCTTTGCCTCCGCAGCATAACACCCAGTCTCCACAACTGTAATGAACAACCGTCAGTCTTGGCCATAGCTTCATACATCCTTTCACATGCCTTATCCGACTCTTCTTTGCGACATATACCCGTTTTTAAAAATGTTTTATCACTTATGTAACTGCGTACTGTGTAATACTTTGCATAACCGCCTACCTCTGTCACCTCGGGCCGCCTACCGCCCGCGCACCGCCCACGTCCTGCCACGCCCCTCGCACCGCCGGTACAGTAGTGTGTAGGCTACAGTAGATGCACAGGTAGGTTACGCTACACTACCTGGATCACCTGTAACGTTTGTGCCATCCGTGCCGAAGCCGCCGCACCACACTTCCGCATCGCAGAGGGAACAAAAAACGGCATGCGAAAGATATATTATCGCGCGGTTGTGTTCAAGTAAATTAACATAAGAATAGTCTGCAATATACTGTTTTTTCCAGTGTGATTCTATTGGGTTATAATACATTTATGACTGGTATTTGCAATCATCAGCAAATAGTATTTCGGAATTGCTAAAATATTTCCCTTGGCGTCTTTCTCGTAAAGTACATTGACAGGCTATGATATGGTATGATGTTTATATATATACATATATATATATATATACATATATATATATATATATATATATATATATATATATATATATATATATATATAAATATATATATATATATATATATATATATATATATATATATATATATATATATATATATGTCAGTTCCATTTCTGCGAGAAGTGTGGCTAACCTCGCGGTCTCTTGGCACGAACACTGGGTAGTCAAACTAGAGTTGGTCTTAAAACCTGCTTGACATAACTTCCGCTTGTTGAGCTGTAATCGTTAAGTAGAAAGGTAAATGTTTCACTTGAACTTTTATTTCCCTTTAATGCGATGTAATACAACAACAGGTTTTATATTAAGGAAAAATGTGATACCATAGTGTCTATACCACAAACAAAAGATATACATGATTATGCTGAATAAATTATGTGTATAACCAGTGTACATAAACGATTAAGTAAATAATGATACCTAAACAAGAATAATGAAATTTCCTCGTCGGACACCTCTGACAGTTTTATTCATCATTTATTTACGTAATTTTCTCAAATGTATACATTTCTCATACTCTGCATGGCACATTACCTTCTTGTAATTACTTTCTAAACACTTCAAACTAACAAGGCGAAAAGCACTTTCCTGTTAGTAAAACACACCTGCTAAAATATCTACATAACTCCATACTCATTTACTATCATTCATAATAAATTCGAAAATTTCATGGAAATGAAAACTTATGGATTCCAGTCTCTATGGATTTCGAGCATTAGAAATGGTGCTCGGATCATAGTTACATAAC